ACGTAATGTCCTCAGTGCAGGAGATCTGCAATACAAAAATCATAGAATCATAGAATAATAGGACTGGAAGGGACCTCGAGAGGTCATTGAGTCCAGCCCCCCGCCCTCAAGGCAGGACCAAGCTCCGTCTACACCATCCCTGACAGATGTCTATCTAACCTGTTCTTAAATATCTCCAGAGAGGGAGATATGGTTCATATGTAGAAAATTGAGATTTTGTTTCAAAACATTTCTTTTTGCTAAATAAGACATGGGATTCAAAAATGTTTAAGTACTGCGACTGTGTGTTGTCAGAGCTGGGTTTTTCATAGGTTACTATGGCAAGGTTGTCGTGGGAAATAGATTTATTACTGAAAAGGTCTTTTTTTGGAAAAGAGGTTCTTTACCTAACACCTCAATCTTGCCCTTTAAAATCAAGGTTAAAGGTGTTAGACTGTGTGATCACTGCAGGAAGGTCAGGATTAGCTTCACTACCCCCTGCTTAGTATTGATCGCCTTTCTCATGCAAATCTAATTTGTATGGGACCTGTTTGGAAAAATTGCATGAAAGTATTAAGACCCGCTTCAGAACATTCCACTTCTAGCATTAGTAGTTAGCTGAGTGAGGAATTAAAGCTAGTGATGGCCCATTATTTCCTTTGATGGGAAACTTCCTTTGAAGTGTGAGGGGTTAGGATGAGGATTCGGAGCTCCCCTTTTGTGTGTCCAATTAAGGCCTGGCTTTGATTGGCAACTGGATCACCTCACCAGGCATGACTTGGCTAAACACTCTGAACACACAAGATTCAATGCATCGGAGGTGGAGTAAATATACAATATCCTGGAATGGGTACAGAGAGAAACTGTCCAGCTGTCACACAAATACTGCTATTTTCTTCAGCTGTTGTGTGCTGGTTGTATCTATGAGTATATTAGATTTAAAGGGAAACCAAAGGGATTGGTGCTACTGAATTAGGGAACTAGACACATCTTCTCATACACAGAATATGTGAATTAAATATAGTAGTAAAGATGTAGGGTAGAAAATTATTTGAAAATGTTTTGAAATCCCTGATTATGTGAATGGGGAAGTTGTATACTCTGGAAGGGGAGCATGTTCTAGTCATGGTAATTCTAAAAGGAAATGCAGCCTGATGCCAGGTATTGAAAGAGGAAGACGGGGTTATAAGGAGCATGGGGGATTTCCATGGCACACTTAAAGTGAGCTCTGTATTGTATCCATTGTTCTATTGTCTCATGGTGGATACACACATTCTCAGTCAAGAAAACAAGGGACAGCTAGCTCACGGAAAGGCCTGCTACATTTTCAAAAGGTTTATGCAAGTTAACTGGCCACTTGCAAACACTATGTCAGGACTACATGCAAGGTAATCCGCCCAGCATTTTTCAAGGAAGATGGAACTGGATGGGTGAAGATGGTCCCTGTAGGTGGCGCATAAGAATAGACACACTCAGTCAAACCAATGATCCATCTAGCTCAGTATCTTGTCTTCCAGAAGTGGCCGACTCTAGCTACTCCAGAAGGAATGAACTGAACAGGTAATGATCAAATATTCCATCCCTCATGCCCATTTCCGGCCTCTGACAGGGGCTAAGGACTCCAAGACCATGGGTGTGCACCATGACTATCTTGGCTAGCAGCCATTGATGGATCTAATCTCCATGAACAATGTATCTCATTCTTTGTGAGCCCAGTTATAGTTGTGGCCTACACAACATCCCTACACAACAATGAGTTCCACTGTTTGATTGTGAAGTACTTCTTTTTAAACTTGCTGCCTATTTATTTCTTGATGACCCTTGTTCTTGTATTATGTGAAGGAATAAACAACACTTCCTTGTGCACTTTCTGCACACCATTCCTGTTGCACAGATCTCTCATATCCCTTCTTAGTCCTCTTTTTTCCAAGATAGTCCCAATCTTTTTAGTCTCTTTGTATGGAAGTTGGTCGTCCCCTTAATCAATTTACTGTCCTTCTTTGTATCTTTTCCAATGCTAATGTACCTTTCGGAGATGATGCGACCAAAACTGTATGCAGCGTTCAAGGTGTGGAAGTAGCATGGATTTATAATATATTTTCGGTCTTCTTATCTTTTCCTTTTCTAATGGTACCTTATATTGTCTTTTTGATTGTTGCTGCCTATTAAGCGGATGTTTTCAGAGAACTGTCCACAACAACACCAAAATCTCTTTCTTGAATGGTAACAGCTAATTTAGATCCCAGTATTTTCCATGTGTTGTTGGTATTCTGTTTTCCGTGTGCATTACTTTGTATTTATTAGCATTAAATTTTATTGGCCAATTTGCTGCCCAGTAACTTAGTTCTGTGAGAGCCCTTTGTAGCTCTTTGCAGTCTGCTTTGAACTGAAGTATCTTGAGCAATTTTCTATCTTCTGCAAATCTCACCATTTTACTGTTTTACCCCCCTTTTCCAGATCATTTATGAGTATTCTGAACAGCCCTGGTCTCAGTACAAATCCCTGTGGGCCTCTTTCCGTTCTAAAAGTTGACCACTTTTTCCTAGTCTTTGTTTCTTTTCTTTTTTTAACTAATTGCTGATCCATAAGAGAGCCTGCCCCTTGCCCCATGACTGCCTACTTTACTTAAGAGCCTTTGGTGAGAGACCTTTGTCAGAGGCTTTCTGAAGGTCTTAAGTACCTGTATATCGACTGGATTACCCTTGTCTACATAGAATCATTGAACTGGAAGGGACCTCAAGAGGCCGTCTGGTCCAGTCCCCTAGGATCAGGACGTAGAAGCTGGGTAGCCGCTAAGCACAGAAGTGTTTCTTGTGCTTGGAGCGAACCACATCATGGGCAAAAGCACCATAGCTGCACTGTATGTCCTACTGTTATCCTTGCCTAGTGGGGGTAGAAGGGACATACCTATCAATGGACCCATTGGCATCAGAGACAGGAGGCCAGCTTACAGGCATGGTGCGGGCGGTGACTGCGATGCCAGGCAAGTCCCATCAGCCTGTGCCTTGTGTCCTTTCCCCGTTTCCATTCCTGTTGTGCCTTTGTCTGCAGGACTCACAGCATCGGGCTCCCCGGTGAGAGGACTGGTGGGTCAGAACATCACGTTGCCCTGCCGATACCGAGTTGATCGTGAAAGTGACATCACAAGCATGTGCTGGGGCCGGGGCAGCTGCCCTTCTTCCACCAAGCATGTGCTGGGGCCGGGGCAGCTGCCCTTCTCGTGGGTGTGCTCAGCCCATCCTCTGGACAGATGGATGGAAGATAACAGAGCGTCAGTCCAGTCGCTACCAGTTAGAGGGGGACCTCACGCGGGGGGACGTGTCCCTGACCATAGTGAATGCGGCGGAAGCAGACGAAGGGCTGTATTGCTGCCGTGTGGAGATCCCCGGTTGGTTCAATGATGAGAAGAACCACCTGGAAGTTGTGATTGAGAGAGGTGAGCAGAGTCTGTCTCTCTTTGTGTCTTCGGAGGGTAAAACTCCTGCCAGCCCACCGCCTACTGAGCTTGTGACAAACAATTTCATCACGCCCTGCAATGCCAGCCCTGATGGGTTTGAAGCTCTACCCTCCCCACTGCCCAAAGGAAGCAGCCTCTGCCATCCGTGTAACCCGCGCAGAGCCAGGCACGGGAATGGTGATTTTGACCCTTTGAGCCAGGGCACATGGCTCATGAGTAAGGCCAGGTTTTAGTCACTGGTGTTTCTAGTAAAAGTCATGGACAGGTCACGAGCAGTATACAAAAAGTCATAACCATGACATGTCCTATCCACCAAGTAAATCTTGGGGTGGGGAAGGTCACCCAACGGATGCTGCAGAAGCAGTGGGGAGAATCCTGGGGGGCTTGGTCATGTGATCAGGCTCTTGAATTGGCTCTGCACATCCCTGGAAGCAGCAACATCCCTGTGCCTCAGCTCTGAGGTGGATCTGAGTGAGGCAGCTCTGTGCGCCTCCTCCCCCGAGTGCTGGCTCTGCAGCTCCCATTAGCCAGGAGCCACAGCCAATGGGAGCTGCAGCTGCGGTGCTAGGAGTCGACGGAGGGGGATGGTGCTACCCTGGGGAACCACCTGAGGAAAGCTCTGCCCAGAGCACTCACCCCTTCCCACACCCAAGCTGCTTCTGCTCGGGTGTGGGGGTGATGGCCCAGTCCCTGCAGATGGCCTGGAGGTCCCGGCAGGTCAGGGAATCTGGGACAAACTCACAGTCTTACCCAAGAGCATTCTCAGCAGTTCCGCCTGCAGACCCAAAGGGGTGGGCAATGGAGCATGTTTCTTTCGCAGCTCATGAACAGCACTGTACCCACTGCTCAGGGCCGTTGTTAGCAACCCGCTGGCTTCCCAGGTCTCCGCCATTATTTTGCTTATTGCCGAGAGTGGCTATGTTGTAGCCCGTTGCAGAAACTTAGCGTAACTAAGGCAGGCCGGGAGGGGGTATGCAGCCATCACCTGGCGTAAACGGAGACCGGGACCCTCTGCTCTGCTGGGGTAAGCGTCTGTGTAAACACAGGAAGTCTGACTATCTTTAACGTTGTGCGCTGGGGCCCATAAGATGGCAGGCTCTGCAGGAATATATCAGTGGGCCTCGCAGGATTAAAAAGGGCTCGTTGAATGGGTTTCCCATGACTGGCACGTTGCTGAGGTAATTGTAGCAGCTACTAGCTGTTGGAGCGGTAGCCTCTCCCCCTCTGGGTCTATGGGCAGCCAATCCGCCTCATGATGCCTTCACTGGTTACCAGACATGGGGTATCCCCAGGGCGACCGGCGTCATGAGCATGGGTCTCTGGTCAGGGCTACACAGCGAGCAGTGTCATGGCAACCGAGCCCCTAGTCGGAGCAGGGCAGTAAAAGGGCCTACAGGCTCGGGCTGAGCTCAGTCAGACCTCCTAGTGCCAGTGGAGGGGGCTGACAAGTGCAGTCTTCTGGCCTAAGAGAAGGGGAGATGGCCACCCATGGACTGGGGGCAGGGGTGACGCAGACCCACCCAGGGCTGGAGCAGCGGCAGAGTGGTCTGTCCGTGGGGATCCTAGCTGCAACGCACTGACTCAGTCCCCGTTAGGGCTACCACCACACAGCTACTCGCTAACCCTGGATCCAGACTCCCTTTCTGGGGTTGCCTGTTGGTCCATAGGGGCCTCCAGGTTGTTGAGGGTCTCTGTCACTGTTCCCAGCTCTTCCAGGGTTGGGTCTGTTGCAGGTCTGGGCCAGTCCTCTGCTCTCTTCCACCCTACTGCAACCTCCCAGGATGGCAGCTCAGAGGAGACGTCTGGACCATTTAACAGCTGGGCCTGAACTGAGCCTTCTGCTCTGCCCTCTGCACTTCCAGTCCTGCCTCTTGGTTTCCGGGAGGTGGGGTGAGAGCGGTGTAGCTCTGCCCACCACGGTGTAGAGACATGCCCCTTCCCCCTGCCTCCTGGGTCTGTTGGCAGCCACGCAGCCTCACTACACTAATATAAAAGGGGTAGCCAGACCTGAGGGGTGGAGATTGGACCATCTGGACAGCTCTTGGAATCCGCAGGGAAGGCAGAGAGCTGGTCCCTTAAACCTTGTAATTTACCACTTGAGACCCCTCCAGATCACCTATTAACTATTGTTTGGGGGTGGCGCTATAACCATTTGTATTTCTATGTGCTTGAGACAAAACAAAGCGCGGAGTCTGAGCAAGGGCATTCTGGTGAGAGAGCTGAGACTAATCAAGTGGAGGCTTTAAGTAAAAGCACTTGATTTTCACTTGTTTCATATAGCAGATGGAGATACTGCCTCCCCCCATTGGTTTATTTCCTGATACCGCCTCACAGAATGTAAGAACTTTGGGGTTACAGAACCCCAGGTCACACCACTAAGGCTGATCCAGTTGCCATTAAAGCAATTGGGTTCTGGATCAGATCCTAATTCATGAAAATGTAAAGGATACTGCCTGGTACCACAAGACATCCCAACGTTCTCCAGAACTTCCTTTTTCCTTCCTTTTTCTGGCCTTCACACTCCTTCCTTTCAAGGCCTCCCTTTTAGCTGGGACCTCTCTTCAGAATACACAATTTATTTCACTAAACATCAGCTAAGTTTGTAGCCCCTTATATTTAAATGTTGTGAGATGCCTTTAGCCAGGCAGCAAGATGCGATAGCTCTGACATCTGCAAGTGTTTGCGCACAGAGTCCTGCCTAAATGTAACATTGATATGCTCTGCTCTGCGTGAAGTCCTCCTTGCATAAATTATGCACCCTCACTTGCCCTGGACAATAATGCACTACTAAGGAGCTGGTCTGAAACATTTTGAAAGCATTAGGCAGATTTCCCGGGACTTAGATGGGTGTTTGATAAGGCTCAAATCATCTAAATTGTACCATCCGTGTTTATCATCTGAAGACGTTCATTTGCTGTAGATGTGAAGGGAAATAGAGGGGTATACTAGTTGTGAACAAGGGAAGGACTGCCGTCTGTATTAAGTGATGTTTATTTTCTGTTTGTGCAGTTGTTCCTAAGACCACCATTCCGTCCTCTTCCGTCACACTAACATGGCTATCCATTTCCAGTTCAGAAGCGCCTCAGGCTGTAAGTATCTGTGCTGTCAATTAACAGATCAGTATTAATTAGTACTTATATCTCCACTACAGGACACTATCTGTAGTGCTCTATTTTGATTGGCACAGAGAAATGTTCATACTTAGACTTGTATTGTACCGACTTCTATTGGGGAAAGAGACAGGTGTTCGAGCTATTCAAAACACCTCTCCTTGAGGGCCTGTCTGTTAGCCCAATGAGCAATATTACCTCACCGACCTTGTCTCACTAATATCCTCAGACCAACACTGCTAGAACACCACAAGCCACATATTTAATCTGTCTCTTTGCTGCCAGAGAAATAGTCCTGATGGTTTAATTATCAAGACGAGCCAATTCCAATAACATCTAAGGGACCCGTCCCACACTTCTCATCCCACCCTTTCTCAGGAAAAATCTCACATTTCAAGGCTAACATGAAAATAAATATTTAGCTTTGACTCCTGGCTTGTGGAACTGGACACGGCAGCTCAATGGAAATAGAGCATTGTCTCCTGTTGGGCACGTTCCCCTCTAGGTCACGTTGTAATCATGTGTTTTATATTATATGATATTATATGATATTATATACTATATAACACATGAATACAACATGAGTTGTTAGATACTGATACAGTTGCACTCTGTCTCAGGAGTGTCCTGTTTTTTGAAAGTTCAAATATGGTAACCCTAAGTCCTCACTGTCATTTCTCCTGCACTTTCCCAAGAGGCTTAAATGGCCTTTGAATCATGTATGTGCCACTAACTCCTCCTGTTTGTGTTTCAGTGGAATGTGTCTACATCAGTCCAGCCAGTGGCGCGTGAATCCAGGGGGCCAGGGATGTACCGAAACAGCATCGTTCTGTCCTTGCTAGGCCTCCTCGTTTTGGCCTTGTGTATCTTCACATGTAAGTAGAACAGAGAGAGGGGACAGCCCCAGGTGTTAATAGTCTTAGTTCTTTACCTGGACCAACAGCAGCTTATTGGGGGATACACTCGTCAACTCCTCCCTATGCTGCCTGGAAATGGCCCTTCCCCAGGCCTTGCTGCCCAATTCTCAGCCTCTGCTGTCATGGCTCTTCCCAGTCATCGGGGAGCTGCTGCTGCCTTTGGTAGCTCTGAGAAGTATTCCCTAGGAAGTTCCCTGTAAGGGTGTACGTGGACATCACTCTTGGATGAATTTGTCCCCTTATGTGGTGAGGACCTGGGTTTAAATCTCCCGCAGTGAATTTCTCTCCCTTGATTCTTCTCCTGTCCAACCCCTTTCCCTCTATTTTGCACCATCCTAAGGTTATTTCTGCAAGACACAAAAGCTGGAGAACGTGGCCACGTAAGTGCTATTCAATTTTTCTTCTGTCACTGTAACAAGAGTCCCATGTTGCTATAATGTTGATAAGGCGCAATTGTTGAAGAGTCCCACGCACACGCTGGTTTCCCACAGGTGCATTCTTTTAATGGTAGCGGCTTTTTCATACCAGGCCAGATAAGCTTTCTTGCCTTGTTCTCGGCCATTTCATTCAACGAGGCATGTTCATTGCTTTCATTGTTAAGCAGGGAACACAAACTCAGCATAACTGTGTTGGCTTGCATTGTATTAAGAAGCAGATTTTGGGGCTCAGAGTTCCTTATAGATACTCAAGTGTTAATTGAGAGTCTTGGCTCCTAAGTTCTGCGGTGATTCCCGTTTTCCTAGTGAGCTGGTTGACACCGCTAGCCAGCCAGTGGTTTCTCTCAAGATGCTGATATTTAATGCTTGGGGTTTATCACTCTTGCTTTGACCTAATCTCATTTTCCAGCACAAAACATGCATGCTGATATTTAATGCTTGGGGTTTATTACTCTTGCTTTGGCCTAAGCTCATTTTCCAGCACAAAACATGACGGGATTTGAAGCTGGGGTCAATGCAGAGGAAAATAAGAACAGGCTGAATTAGATCCTGCACGTGACTGTTCTGGGAATGTCTGTCAGTTTTTGCTCCTCGTTTTCTTTTGTGAGTATCATTTAGGGGTCCTGCACGTGACTGTTCTGGGAATGTGTCAGTTTTTGCTCCTCATTTTCATTTGCGAGTATCATTTAGGATTGTGAACGACCTTCTAGATTATAACCTCTGTTTTGTGAATCTTCCTACAGTGTGTCCTGAGCCGAGAGCCGGTTTGGCCAGTGGTGTGCATAGCGTGAGGTGGTGGTCAAGGCGGACGTGGTTTTCCTCGCTTTATGCAGAAATAACACAGGATCGGTTATCCGGATGGCTGCAGAGAATTATTGTCTCACTTACAATTCTTCTCAGCTTGAGCATGCCCTGGGATGTGAGGAATCAGAACTTCCTATTTCTAGACACTAACCAGGCCGTGAGTCCCAGTGTGACTGGATAGAGGGGTCCATCTGTCACGAGGAGCAAGAGAGACGAGGGAGTCTCCACTTCACCTGAGCAGGCAGCCTTCAGACTCCAACAGAAGGAAGAGATTGTCTGCGGAGCGGGGCCATTGCATTCAGGTGTTCATTCAGTGAATGAATGTCCTGTCTTGTATTGTCACAGCAGGCTCTTCTGCAATGTTCTTGATGTAACTGTCGCATGGTCCCAGGAGGATTAAGCCATATATTGGAGTACCACAAGGGTGGTGTGCACAAGTTACCAGGGACACTAGGGAGCTCCAGCAGAGGTCATGAGGCCTATGACAGCTGCATCTAACATCCCAAGATGGGGGTGCTTGCCAGGCCAAACCCAGAGACGGTGCCTTGACCCTGCTCCAACTCTGTGGGCATGGGCACATGCAGGGTCTACGGCTGGGGCCAAAGTGGCAGACGGAAGAGTGTCCAGAGAGCGGGTGTGAGGCTCAAGCACCTGTCTGGTTGAGAAACTGTATTACCCACTAAAGATGAAAACTGCACCTACTATGCTGCTCCTGAAATGTTTGTTCCACTGAGCACGGTGAATTGTTGTATGTTCATGTGCTTAGTTTTATCCGGCAGCAAAGTTGAGGGATGCTCAGTGTGATGGCAAGACACGAGAAGCCATTCTTCTGCTCTACTCAGCGCTGATTAGGCCTCAGTTGGAGTGTAGTGTCCAGTTCTGGGCACCACATTTCAGGAAAGATGTGGAGAAACTGGAAAAGGTCTAGAGAAGAGCAACAAAAGTGATGAAAGGTCTAGAGAACATGAGCTAGGAGGCAAGGCTGAAAGAATTGGGTTTGTTTAGCTTAGAAAAGAGAAGACTGCGAGGGGTTATGATAGTGGTTTTCAAGTACCTAAAAGGATGTTACAAGCAGAGGGAGAAAAATTATTCTCCTTGGCCTCTAAGGATAGGACAAGAAGCAAGGGGCATAAATTGCAGCAAGGAAGGTTCAGGATGCATATTAGGAAAAGCTTTCCATCAGGATGGGTAAACCCTGGAATAAATTGCCTGGGGAGGTTGTGGAATCTCCATCTCCGGAGATATTTAAGAGCAGGTTGGACAGACCCCTGCCAGGGATGGTCTAAATGAGGCATGGAACTGCCGTGAGCGCAGGGGACTGGACTCAATGACTTCATAGCAGGTTGGACAGACCCCTGCCAGGGATGGTCTAAATGAGGCATGGAACTGCCGTGAGCGCAGGGGACTGGACTCGATGGCTTCATGAGGTCCCGTCTGGTTCTAGTGTTCTGTGACTGACGGCCATCTAGTTACATGCATCACCTCTGGGCAAGCTACTGGGGGTTCAAGGCTAAAATGTCACCCGTCTATCCCAGCCTCTTCTCTCTTAGGGTACATCTACACTGCAGTGCTGTTACAGAAGACCCAGAGATACCCTGAAATAGCTACTCCGCGTCTTTGGAACTCATCCATTATTGCCATAAATTGCAGACATGCTATTTCCACATCCCTGTAAACCTCGTTCCACAAGGGTTAAGGAATGTCTGGAAATAGCGCTTTATTTTGAAATTTGGAGCAGCGTAGACGTGCCAAATTTCAAAATATCCTATTTCAAAAAAGAATTCAAATTGGATGCGCACGTTGTGTAGCAATAGACTTTGCCAGTCTCTGGGCAATGTGGGAGGGGCTTGGCTCTGGGCCCCCAGAATGGGCGGGGCCTTGGATTGGAAGGGGAGGGGTCTCCTGCAAGAAGGAGTGTGGTGAGGGCGGCCAGCCCTCAGTGCTGCCTGTGCTGCACCCCCCCTCCCTCAGCCTGCTAGTCCTTAGCGCCCTCCAGCAGGGATTTAGTGCCCATGGTTGCCTGAGTAATGGCAGTGGTGAGTCGGAGCCCCGGGCTTTTTAAATTGCTTAGTCCTGGGGCAACTACTGCCTTGCCCACCTATCAGAACCCTTCCCATCTCTCAATTCACTCCCTGATCACAGAGCACAGGGAGAGATTTATCACCAGCGGCAAGTTGTTCCTCCTTTGGGGGAATGCGAGCGCGCGCCACTGAGCAGCTGAGAAGAGGAAGCGACAATGTTCACGTGTCTCCACAGGGGACTATGGGGAGTCCCTTTAGAAGCCAAAACACTCTGCACCGAATCTCTCCATACTGCCTCTGGGCTTCCCGCAGCCCTCCAGAGGGCAGCCTGCTTAAAGCTCATGACACCATCTGTACGTTTTGTTAGTCTATAAAGTGCTACCAGACCTTTTGTTGTGTTTTAAGTTTATTTTGTACTAGCAGAAGTAGCGTCGGCAAGGGGAAAATACAGTAAAAGGTATGATGAATGAAGTACGTAGCATATTTTATTGGAAATACTTTTTTCTTATATATTACTTTAAGAAATTAACATAGCTAGTGATGTGCTTACAAAACGTTGAACTCATTTCTTGATTACAAAAGGTGTGGTGAAAGAATTATGTAAATGACGTTAACCTATTTTATTGAAAATACTTGTTCTGTTATCATAGGGAAAGGATCTGGTAGTTGCAGTTTGTGACATGCTTAACAGAAGAGTCCAGCAAATGCCTATGATCAGGCACTATTAAAATTGAATTAGTAGCCCAATTGGGGCTCTGGAGGAACCAATTTTGAGATATAACCAATCCAGTTATTTAAGTTAGGAAATCAGGAGTATCTGTGCAAATTTTGGTGTTTCTAACTCTTATCGTTTCGGAGACCTTTCGGGACAGACAAAAAACAAACTTTCGGAAATATTTATAAGATTTTGCGTTAGGTTTGTTTTTACAGAATCCAGCCATGTAAGGAAAAGCAGGACAATGCAATAAACCCTGGTACTTACACAGCGCCTTTTTATCATAAAAGCCATAACTAATTAATCCCAACGCCAACAAAAAAACAAATTCACTTGTGCAAAAAGATTTTCGTGCTCTTCTGACTAAGGGCCCGATCTATTTCCTGTCAAGGTAAATGGGACTTGGATCAGGCCCTGGTACAGTAACGGCTGTTGAGCAAAACACACGTACTCTATTTACAATTAATTCCCAGAATGCCCCAGGATTCCCATTTCTTTTTCAGCCACTGGATTGTGCCTGTGCACCGGGACATCCCCCTATGAATTTTCTCTCAGATGTTTCAGGGCGTAACTTCAGAGTAGTATCCTCATGTCCTCTTCAATGCAAAGCCCTGAGAGCCATTTCCCAATGGAGACCAGAGAAGACTAGAGCATCAGTTGTTCCCCTCCAGACTTAGACCCACCTCAGAACAATTTATCCTCTGTCATCTGGCACAGAAGAGAAGCTGGAAGGCTCCAAAATCAACCTGTTTACATTTGCAAGAGATGAAAAGATTTGTCGGACTTTAAAACTGAGACCTGTCTCAAATTCAATCGCTGATTCTTGTGGGACTCTAACAATGTGTGAAATTTTAAAAAGAAATTCAGTCACTGTATCGTGAGCTTAACGGAGGACTTGGATCATTTCAATGCATCGTTGGTAACTGAAAATATTAAAGTGAATTCCAATGGAGGCAAAAAGCTTCTCGGGTTGACAGATTGCTGTGGAATTAAGACTTTCACCTCCATCCTCCTCCCATTGGAGGTCATGAGAAATCTGTCCCCGACTTTAGCAGGAGCAGAATCACAAACTTGGCTCACAAAAGTACCCTATCACCAGTAAAAACCTCCCCATTACAGCTGTGCTCAGTGACCGTATGTATCTTTATGCTGTGGCCTGTTGCTAAAATTAAACAAAGTTCTGAACTGTCGTGTTGCCAATTTCTGGTAGCAAACAGTATTAATGTCACTTTACCGGGGACTATATCAACTTGTGCTTTAGTATAAATGATGGTTGAGGTAAGTCCATTATTGAGTTGTTAACCCTCAGTACTGAGGTCTGGAAGGGTTTGTGGTCACAGCTAATAGGAGTGACTAGAGCCTGATCTCTGACATTTAAACTGCAAAACCGTATGGTGCATGTCAAATTGTACTGGCTCGTTTATCACACTGCCTGGTATTGGTGATGGGTTTCACAGTTCCTCTGTACAGCATGGTTTCCAGTGAGCGGTGAAAAGCAGAGTTCTGCAGCGCTCTGGCATCTCAGTGGAGGAACTGTTAAGGTGCGTGGTTCAGAAATACGTTTTTGCTAATTTAGAACCGTGGAGGAAGTTCAATTTAGTTACAAGGAATTTATTGCACAGTCATGTAGCAGATAATCCCTAGAAGAGTGAGTGTGTGTGTGTGGGAGGGGGGGTAATAGGTGCTGTATGTCGGTATTTTTAATTAAGATCATAAAACAAAGCTTCTCTCTTGAGCATCCAGTAAGAGCAACTCCATATGCAAATTACTCAACCTGCCAGGAGAGCACTCACAAGATCCCTTCCTTCCCTCCTCCCGAGGAGAATAAGAAAAATAAATCTGTTAAAAAGTGTTTTCAGGGAGCCCTGCACTTCCTGTTGAAAGAGAAAGTGGGCAAGCGGCAGTCCTGGAAGGTCAGCTAACAGGCCAGTCCTGTTTCCCATCGCGTGCGTGTTTTCAGGGACTACATTCTGCACCTTCCTTTAGGGAAACAGTATGTCTAGACTATACACGTCTTTCGAAAGAATTTCCAAAATGCTTCTTTCGAAAGAGATATCTAGACAGTCACAACTTTTTCAAAAAAGCAATTCGCTTTTTTGAAAGAGCTCACCCAATCTAGAAGCTCTCTTTCGAAAAAGCTCTGTTTGCAGTCAAGAACGCCTTTTTTTTTTTTTTCAAAAGAGCTCTTTTTTTAAAAGTCATTCTTCCTCGTAAAATGAGATTTATCGCTGTTGAAAAAACTGCTGCATTCTTTCGATTTAACTTTGAAAGACTGCGGCGGCAGTCTAGATGCAGGTGACTTTTTCTGGAAAAAAACAACAACCCTGTGGTCTAGACATAGTATGAGTCCTTTTTTATTTCTTTTTTATGGTGGGCCCTACAATCCCACTTGGATGGTGAAAGTATTTTTGCAACATCAGCCAGCTAGTGGGAAATAGCCAGCAATGCATTATCCAAGTAATACCCACATTTCTCCCAGTAACTCCCTCCTCTGTGTCTCTTTTTCATCTCTCTCCACATGGCACGCATTGATGTAAGCTGGTTTAGTTTTGCTCTATCTGTGCAATGTGGCAAAGGGGCAAAATTAGGGTGCAGGGGCAGCTGAGCCGATGCTGCATTGCGTTTAGCTGCCGGTGTGAATGAGGATACCATGCTCAGCGCTCTGTCAGAAATGGTGGTCAAGCAGGAAGGAAGCAGGGTTCGTGAAACCCTTCTGAGCAGTTCCCTTTTGCAGTTCAACCAGCTGCACCCCGTTGTCAGCAAGAGCAAATTACTGATGTAGATAAGGCGAAAGGGAGCAAAAGATGAACCACGGGAAAAGGCCACTCTGGCCGGGGCATTGAGCAATATTCAGCGCGTGAAAAGTGACATTTGGGAAGTGAAAATAGACGCTGGTATCGGCAATGAATGTTTTTTTCCTCAAGCCCCTAAGAAGCTTGAAGAAAGACGGTTCTCTGCCTTCTCTCCAGTTCCCCCCATGGCTCCTTGTCTCCTCTCGGAGTGGATCCTAATGGTCCTCGCTACAGGTAATTAATGTGGCAAAGAGAATAACTGGTAGTGGATGGGGCATCAGTAGTAACTAGTGTGGAATAGGGACTGAATTTCCCTGGGGAGAACTAAACCTAGAAGGAAGCGGAGAGCTCCTAGCTCAAGCTGCGCCTGTGTCACAGGTTTTTGTCACAGACTCTGCCATTTCGGCAATGGAAATAACAAGCCAGAGCTGCTCCATAGCCTTTTATCCTCAGTAGCGCTCCTCACTTGTATTTTTATCGATAGAAAGGAAATGTCTGGGCATTAGGCTCACAAAAACCGTCATCCACGTGTGACCCACAAGCAGCAGGGCCTGAAACGCCAATGCTGGCACAGACCGTATTGCTCTTTGGATGTTGTTTAGAGATGGGCATAGATCTTAAACCCATCCAGATCTTAAACTCATCGAGAATTGTATTCCAAACAGCACCTCAGTTTCCTTTTGTGTCAGTTTCTTCAGTATTCTGTCTGTATTGAGGATTTTTCATGTGACTGAACGTGTGTAGTGCATTTTTAAAATGATTAGTTAATACCCAGGATGAATCTCTTTTGTCCTGAGCCCTAGGGACCAGACTAGTTCTGAACAAGAGAGTTTTCCCGAATTTGGGAAGTCAGTATTGTCAAGCAGTGTTACCGACACTTTCACTGCTTACTGGGATTTTTGGAAGATATTGAGGGGTAAATTAGAGCTAAATAACAGCACAGAACACTGAGAGCCAGGATTGGTGACTAAACAAACTTTATGGGACTCTGGAAAACTTGGCCGTGCCCATGAAAAGTGGACATCTGGCTAACTGAAATCATTCTGGTCGATGGATGCTTCCGGATAAGAGGGTTCTAGATGAGAGAGGTTCAACCTGTATTAGGGAAAAACGTTGATTGTAGGAGCCAAAATCATGACTTTTCTGTGTCTGCTATGACAGAGCGATGATTTTTTTGCTCTTTCGTGCTGCAACAAAACATCAGCCTTTACCAGCAGGGAAACAGTGATAGCAACTGTTGTGAAGAAAATGGGCACCTTAAGTCTGAGTCCATGGAGACTGACTTTAAATAAAAAAATAAAAAGTGCCAGGATATGGTCCATATTTCAGTTTTTCACAGCGTTGCTTTTTGCTAAATAAGAGGGGAAATTCAACAGTGTTTGTTTAGTAGCTACTCATGCTGTGTGTTGTGGGAGCGGAGTTTCTCATCGGTTACTCTGGCAAAGTTCAGCAGCACCAGATCTGTTAGTCAGAAGGTCTGTCTCTTTTAGGGGAAAAAGCTGAGAGGAGCTAACCTATTAATTTTGCCCAACTCTATCAATATTAAAGGTGTTAAACTTCCCTTTCACTGGGCAAACCAGCAGTTCAGTAGCAGGAGGCGATGTTGCTGACCGTAGTTTCAAATCCTGGTTTATGCGCACAGGGAAGACACATAGTTGGATGTTGGTGGAGCGTGTTGTATTCATGGGAATTCAAAAAGGAAGTGCCGCCTCGTGCTAGATCTAGAAAGAGGAAGGAGGGTTGTAAGCGCGTGGGGGAATTGTGCAGCATGTGTAAAGTGAGCTCTGTCTTTCATCCACTGCTCCGTTGACCTACTGGCTGTGCATGCGCTAAATAGAGGGGCAAAGAGAGAGCCCATTAAACACACTTCCAAAGGGTTTGTGTCACGTACCTGGCTACTTGCTGACACAATCCGGTGCACGTGCAAGTTCCCCTGACGAGCGTGTCTCACAGCAAGTGGAGCTGCAGATCCAGGGGAGGCCCAGCCCAGGGCAGAGGACCAGCCCACGGCAGCTCTTCTGCGAGCGCCGAGGTGCAAAGCAAGCCGGGGATCCGTGGTGCACACGCTTTGTGCTGGTGCTCTGCCACGGGAGGCACAAGGTGGCAGGAGAAGTGCGTGTGCACAAGAGCTGTGTCGTCCCACAGGTGGTTCCAGTCGCCACGGTAGGGTGAGCGGAGCCATCCAAGGACACCGCAGGGGTTGTAGGCCTCAGTGCCTCTCCCACAAGCACGGGGCAGCGTGAGAGCCACTCTCCAGAGGTTTAGTCCCCAGTGTAGTCACATCACAAAGAGATCAAGGCCGACGTGTGCGCGTTTGCCTGGTTCCCACAACTAAGCTCCCCTAGGGCAGGGCGCTGTGGGTATAACTGCCCGGAGAATGGCTCGTTGGTTGGTTGGGTGGATCCAAGACCTGCCCCCCCCACCTCCCCGCACCTGCCAGGCTGGGCTCAGGAGGGAGGGGCTGGGCAGCAGCTGGGAGGCACAGGAGTGTTTCCTGTGCTTGGACAGGAACATCTCGTGGGCAAAAGCATCGTGTGTCCTGTTGGAATCCTCGTCGGGTGGAGGCAGAGGGACACACCCGAAAAGTCCTCTCAACGTGTGCCTTGTGTCCTTTCCACATTTCCATTCCTGTTGTGCCTTTGTCTGCAGGACTCACAGCATCGGGCTCCCCGGGGAGAGGACTGGTGGGTCAGAACGTCACGCTGCCCTGCCGATACCGAGTTGATCATGAAAGTGACATCACAAGCATGTGCTGGGGCTGGGGCAGCTGTCCTATTTCTCAGTGTGCTCAGCCCTTCCTCTGGACAGATGGATGGAGGGTAACGTGGCGTCAGTCCAACCGATACCAGTTAGGGGGGAACCTCACGCGGGGGGACGTGTCCCTGACCATAGTGAATGCGGCGGAAGCAGACAAAGGGCTGTATTGCTGCCTTGTGGAGATCCCTGGTTGGTTCAATAATGAAAAGAACCACCTGGAAGTTGTGATTGAGAGAGGTGAGCAGAGTCTGTCTCTTTGTGTCTTCGGAGGGTAAAACTCCTGCCAGCCCCCGGCCTTCAGAGCTTGTGACTGACAGTTCAATCACGCCCTGCAATGCCAGCCATGAGAGTGTGAAGCCCTCCCCTCCCCACTGCCAAAAGGAAGCAGCCTCTGCCATCCGTGTAACCCGCACAGAGCCAGGCACGGGGAGGGTGATTTTGGTCCCTTGTGCCAAGCAGCCCTTAGTAGCTGTCTTAGTCCTATTGTGTGTGGCATCCAGAAGAGCGGGCCCCACCCTCTGCTGCACTCGTTAGCGTGGCACAAAGTCGCGGGTGGATGCGTCATGTCCCTTGGCAGGTTGATCCAGCGCCCGTGCTATTGTGCCTGCTGGGACGAGACATGGCCACTATCTGCAGGGCTCCTGAGCCCCTGATGACGTGGTCCCTTCGGATGCCCTGGCCCTCTCCTTTGGTCACTGGGATTCCAATGAGAGAAATCCTCCACGTGCGAGGAAACCCGCCTGGCCGAGACCCTGCCTCACGTTTGTTCCTGCCCCTAGAGAGCCAGACTGCACTCCACACCCCCCACCACTGTCTCTTCCCCCTCCGTTTCCTGTCAGACGTGTGGGGCCAAATTCAGACTGGGAGCTCTACTCTTGGGCCAGGTGGGAGTTTAGCCTCTGTCTTGGCTGAGCAGTAGTTAAATGAGGCCATGTCCGGGCACTGGCTTTGGCTGTCGTCATATGGGTGAATTCCAGCCCCTGGGGAGCACTCATGGAAGTTTTTCTGTTGGAGCCAGAGCTCACCCCACTGGTCCAGTTTGAACCACTTGGCCTTAAGGAATGAGTAAGGGTGCGTCTACACTGCCAGGTTATTTCGAAATAGCACGTCCATGTTACAGGGAAGCCACAAAATCTGTCCAAGGCAGGCTCCCCTAATGTGGATGCACTGCCTCCATTTAGAGCCCCAGGAGACAATGGGAGGAATAACTTAGCATGGCCATGGGGAGGGGCTATTCTGACATAGTAGCAGTGGAGCATCCACACACACTATCTTCCAAAAGAGCTTTTTCAGAAGCGGCGCTATTCGTCGTGGAATGAGGTTTACCAATGTTGGAAAAATCCTGCTGTCATTTAGATTTTCTTTCGAAATAACAGTTGCTGTGAGGATGCTAGTATTGTTTTTCCGGAATAACGGCCATTGTTCCAGAAAAAAATGCAGTGTAGACGCAGCCTAAGAGTTATACACAACAGTTCCATCTCAACAGCAGCTCCCCTCCCACTCTGCTCTCTGACAAGCTTTCAAATGTTCAGCTCCAGTTGTGGCAATCAGCAAAATCAAACCCCCGAATCTTACCCCAATCCTGATCTCTTTTTTAAATCTGGGAGAATTCCAGATGCTGTGGAAAGTCCTCCACTATTGGTTGTACAAGGAAGGTGCTTAGAGAGTATGGTGAGAGAGAGAGGTAGAATAAACCCACAAGACAAACACATAGAGAGCACAGCTATGATTTTCATTCTCTCCTTTTGCTGCACTGCCGTCTCCTGAGAATAAAAGTTAAAGCAATTTTCTTCTTCTTGCAATAGACCAGGTAGGTAGGGGGATGGAGTTTTATTGCAAGTGCTATGTTGTTCTTAAGACACGTTATTTCTTCCATATTGCTGACTTGTCACGTGTGGTTTTTGTTTTGTTTTGTTTTTTCATAACAGCAAAGACTTCCACTGCACTTCCTCACACGTACCCATCTGAACGTAGCTCAGGTAAAGTATAATCCCGTATTGGTGTGTGTGAAACCCTTTTGCAATAAAATAACAAATAGTAGCTGAACTTAAAAAACAATGAATAGTCCTGCAGCACCTTAGAAACTAACAAAACATGTCTATGGGAACATGAGCTTGCATGGGCACAACCCACTTCTTCAGATGACCGGAGTTTAAGGGGTCCAAGTTCCAAATAAATAGCAGAGAAGGGGAAGGAAGGGAAAGGAGAAAAAAAATGGGAAAAGAATAGTCAATGTGAGTTTCCATGCTACATGAAGCTGATAGGTGCTGCAGGACTATTAATTGTTTAATAGTTTTTTCTGTTAGACTAACCTGGCCACGCTTCAGGAGCTAAACTGATATGCTGATAGAACAGCAAATCATGAAATAAGGTCCCGCAATCACTCACAGACAACTGCCTACCAATTGCACAACTTTGTTACTATGTTAAAGATATATTTTCGCTGGCATTGCAAATATTATTCCTACTGACTTTATGTTACAACGTGTGATCTCCTGTGAGCTGGCAGTAAAAGCCCCAAGCAAAGATGGGACGATCTGGAGGGGTCTTTCAAACAACCTACAGCCCACAAAAATGGGTTTGTGGTTTAATATTTGTTCTTTAAATTTTGGGTTTGAGCCGTATGAGCTCAGCTTGAACTTGAAACCAAAATTGTTCGCTTCATTCATCTGGAGTTTGTGAGCTCATAGTTTCGTTTCCTTCTCAGAAAAGGAGATGAACCCTTTCTCCACATGTGATGTGTGTCTAGCTACAGAGAGTTGTATACTTATTATGGACACATCCACGGAGGAGCCACCGAAAGAGGCAGACAATTGTGTTACTTTGATGTTAAAAATCATAGAATCGATGATTCAATAGAACCATGAAACACTAGAACTGGAAGGGACCTTGAGAGGTCATCAATTCCAGTCCCCTGCCCTCACGGCAGGACCAAGCACCATCTTGATCATTCCTTATAGCTGCTTCTCTAAGCTGTTCTTAAAAGTTTCCAGTGACGGAGATTCCACAACCTCCCCAGGCAATTTATTCCAGTGTTTAACCACCCTGTCAGGCAGGAAGTTTTTCCTAATGTCTAACCTTAACCGTCCTTGCTGCAGTTTAAGCCCATTGCTTCTTGTTCTTTCCTAAGAGGCCAAGATGAACAATTTCCCCCCCTCCTCTTTGTAATACTCTTTTAGATACTTGACAGCTGCTCTCATGTCCCCTCTGTTTTCTCTTTTCCAAACTAAACAAGCCCAATTCTTTCAGACCTTTCATCATTTTTGTTGCTCTTCTCTGGACTTTCTCCAATTTCTCCACATCTTACGGAAAATGGAAAGGCCCCTCTTTCCCAAGCGAAAGACAAGAGCCAGAGCAGAGCACCCCATTTTGAATCAGAGCCCTCGGGAGTGGATTTCAATTGCAGCAGAAAAGGCTCTTGGCTCCAAAGTCCCCTTCCAGAGCCTCTGCCATCCATATAACCTCAGCAGAGCCAGGCACAAACATGGTGATTTTGGTCCTTGGAGCCGGGGCACATGGCTCATGAGCAAGGCCAGGTTTAGTCACTGGTGGTTCTAGTAAAAGTCATGGACAAGTCACGAGCATAAACCAAAAGTCCCAGCTCATGACCTGTGCGCTATAGCCTTGATAAATCTCGGGGTGGGGAGTGAGCAGAGGGGATGTGGCAGATGCTGTGGGAGAATTTGAGTGGGAGGGAGGGGTCCTGCTTGGGCAGGGTCTTTACCTGGCTCAGCCCCTACCTGGAAGCAGCAACGTCCCTGTGCCTTAGCTCTGAGGTAGAAGTTAGTGAGGCAGCTCTGTGCACCACGTCTTCCTTCCCCGCCCTCCTCCCCCCGAGTGCTGGCTCTGCGGCTCCCATTAGCCAGGATCCATCGCCAATGGGAGCTGCAGGTGCGGTGCCTGTGAGTGGCGGCCCTGTGTGGGGCTAGGAGCCGAGGGAGGGGGATGGCGCTACCCTGGGGATAAGCACAGCACCCAAGGGGATGAGCATTGGAGCATGTTTCTTTCACGGCTCATGAACAGCAATGCACCCACTGCTCAGGGCCGTTTTTAGCAAGCAGCTTGGTGCCCAAAGTCTCTGCCAACTGCCAGTCCTGGAATATCCATTAGTTTCCTTATTGCCGAGTGGCTGTCGCAGGCCTTTGCAGAGCTTAGCGTAACTAAGGCAGGCCGGGAGGGGGAAAGCAGCCATCACACGGTGTAATCCTGGATCCGTCCCTCTGCTGTGCTGGGGTAAGTGTCTGTGGGAAACCAGGAAGATTGTGTCTATTTATCTTTGGGTGCTGGAGCCCATAAGATGGCAGCCTCTGAGGAAACGAATCTGTGCTCCCAGGGGTTTAAAACGCGCTCACTGAATGGCTTTTCTATGACTGCGCTCTCCCCCTCCGCATCCACGGGCAGCCAATCCGCCTCAGCATGTCTCTACAGGCCACGTGAGCGTGGGTCTCCACAGCGAGCACTGTCATGGCAGCCTAGTCAGAGCCTCGGGCCCGCGCTCAGGCTGAGCTCAGTCAGACCTCCCGGCTCCGGCGGAGGGGGCTGACGAGTGCGCTCTTCTCGCCGAAGAGGGGGGGGAGGGCTAACTACGGATTGAGGAGGCAGAGGGAACACGGGTCCACCCAGAGTCTGAGCGGTGGCAGAGTGGTCTGCTGCTGAGTCACAGGGGAACTGAGCTTGAACACGCTGGCTCGCTTCCTGTCAGGGTTACCACCCCAGCTACTCGCTAACCCAGGGCCTCTTCCAGACTCCCCCGTTGGGTTGGTCCTATATTTAACTATTGCGAGATGCCTGGAGCCAGGGGATGGACATTGAAGCAAGATGCGACAGCTCTGGCTTCTGAAAGTTTTTTGCGCACTGAGTCCTGCCTAAATGTTACATTGACGTGCTCCCTCACTTGCCCTGGACAACAATCATGCAGTACACACTCTTCTGAGGATCTGATCCAGAGTGTACTGACGGCATTGGGCAGACTCCCCTCGTCTAAGATGGGTGTTTAGTAGGGCTCTAATCATTTAAATTGAGCCGTCCTGTCTGTCTGTCTATCATCTGGAGCCGTTCATTTGCTGTAGTTGCTCAGGGAAATAGAGGGGTATACTAGCTGCGAATAAGGGAAGGACTGCCGTCTGTATTAAGTGATGTTTGTTTTCTGTTTGCGCAGTTGTTCCAAAGACCACCGTCATGCCACCATGGCTATCCATTTCCGGTTCAGAAGCCCCTCAGGCTGTAAGTATCTGTGCTGTCAATTAACAGATCAGTATTTATATTGTCGCTATGGGACACTGTCTGTAGTGCTCTCCTTTGAGCACAGAGAAATGTTCATAAATAGATTTATGACTAATGTCTATTGGGGAAAGAGACAGGCTTGAATATCCTTAGACCAACAGCGCAAGCCACATATCTAATCTATTTGCTGACAGGGAAACAGTCCTGATGGTTTAATTGTCAAAAGACAAGACAATTCCAATAACATCTAAGGGACCCATCCCACACTTCTTATCCCACCGTTACTCAGGCAAAATCTCACATTTCAAGGCTAACATGAAAATAAATATTTAGCTCTGGCTCATGGCTCGTGGAATTGAACATGGCAGCTCAATGGAAATAGAGCGTTGTCTCCTGTCGGGAGCATCACCCTCTACGGTTACCATATTTGAACTTTCAAAAAAGAAGACTCTCCTTAGAGGGAGAGTATCGATATCTACCAACGCACGTTGTATTAACGTGTTATTTAATTATATAGATAATACAATACAATAATATGAATATTAAAATTAAAATGAATATTAATATTAGTATTGAATGGTATATAATATATTTTATATTTATTAAATAAAAAATAAAACACACGACTACAGCGTGAGTTGGTAGATACTGATACATTACACTCTGTCTCAGGAGTGTCCTGTTTTTTGAAAGTTCAGATATGGTAACCCTAAGTCCTCAAGGTTATTTCTCCTGCACTTTCCCAGGATGCTTAAATGGCCTTTGAATCATAACCTGCCACTAACCCCTCCTGTCTGTTTCAGTGGAATGTGTCTACATCAGTCCAGCCACTGGAGCCTGAATCCAGCAGGTCAGGGATGTATCGAAACAGCATCGTTCTGTCCTTGCTAGGCCTCCTCATTTTGGCCTTGTGTATCTTCACATGTAAGTAGAGCAGAGAGAGGGGACAGCCCCAGGCGTTAATTGTCTTAGTTCTCTAACTGGACCAACAGCAGCGTGTCGGGGGATGCACTCGTCAACTCCTCCCCCTGCTGCCTGGAATGGCCCTTCCCCAGGCCTTGCTGCCTACTTGTTGGCCTCTGCTGTCATGGCTCCACCCAGTCATCAGGGAGCTGCTGCTGCCTTTGGTAGCTCTGAGAAGTATTCCCTAGGAAGTTCCCTGCAAGGGTGTACGGGGGCTTCACTCTTGGGTGAATTTGTCCCATTATGCAGTGAGGACCCCACAGTGAATTTCTCTCCCTTGATTCTTCTCCTGTCCCTGCGGCTTTTTAAAAACTTCTGTTGTAACAACCTGTTTCCCCCTATTTTGCACCATCCTAAGGCTATTTCTACAAGACTCAGAACCTGGAGACCGTGGCCAAGTAAGTGCTATTCAATCTGTCTCTTCTGTCACTGTAACAAGAGGCCCACGTGGCCATATCCTGGGTACGGTGCAGTTGTTGAAAAGAGTCCGACACATATGCTGGTTTCCCACACATGTTTTTTTTTAATGGGAGCGCCTTTTTCATACCATGCTAGATAAGCTTTCTTGCCTTGTTCTCGGCCACTTCATTAAACGAGGCATGTGCAGTTATTGAGGCAGCCATTCAGGTTAGTTAGCAGAGGCCAGGCACACATCTCTGTCTCCGTTGATAACAACCAGGAGGCTGCTTGCGTGTGTGCTCAGTGATGTGGGCCATGTCGACTTGTGCACGTAGTTTTCACAGCAGACCCCAAGAGAGCCCCCAAAAACCACAAGCCGGAGAAGGATTGAAGTTGCCAGGCCTGGTTTATTAAGTGAAGTACAGTCATAGTTTGTCAGTAGACTCCACTGAACCACTGTGCATTTGCACCCCATTACAATGGAATGACTCTAAACATTGGAATACTTCCATTGTCCCCTGAGGCCAGTCAAAGACTGTTCCCAAAGACGCCACCTTAGATAAAGGTACAAACACATTGGTGCTGACTTGTGAGGTTGCCACCCTCTGATGTTGCCAGGTTACCACAAATCACCTTGTGATCTGATTAGACCATCTCCATCCCTCATGTATGAACCTCGACCTTTTCCTGAAGTTGAGTTGGTCTTTGTGGGGAGCAAACATTCATCAGGCTGTTCTTAGACCCTTCCCTGAACCTGAGTTGGTATTTAGGGGGAGTGGGTACCATGGTCTTTCTTTAATGAACTGTGTGCTAAGAACTCATGATAAGTCCCAATTACAAGTCAGTCTCATCCCTGGACCTGTTACCAATTAGTCTCAGCCCTGTTCAAGCCAAGGTCGGTGAGCAGGGGTCTGCTTTGCTTTATGTCAGCCACGTTTTGTCCATTGTTAGCTAGGCCTCCGGCTTCAGACCAGGTCTGTGCTATATGGGCTTACGTCTCACGTCCGCATCTCGCTACAGCATGTTCATTGCTTTCATTATTAACCAGTGAACAAAAATTAAGTAACTCTTAGCTTGCGTTGTATTAAGAAGCCGATTTTGAGGCTTTACAGTTCCTTATGAATACTCAAGTGTTAATTGAGAGTCTTGGCTCCTAAGTTCTGCTCTGATTCCTGTTTTCCTAGTGAGCTGGTTGACACCGCTAGCCAGCCAGTGGTTTCTCTCAAAATGCTGATTTAATGCTCGGGATTTATCACTCTTGCTTTGGCCAAATCACATTTTCCAGCACAAAACATGCTGGGATTTGAAGCTGGGGTCAATGAAGAGGAAAATAAGAATAGGCTGAATTAGATCCTGCACGTGACTGTTCTGGGAATGTGTCTGGCAGTTTTTGCTCCTTATTTTCTTTTGTGAGTATCATTTAGGGTTGTAAACGACCTTCTAGATTATAACCTCTGTTTTGTGAATCCTCCTACAGTGTGTCCTGAGCCGAGAGCCGGTTTGGCCGGGGGTGTGCGTAGCCCAAGGTGATGGTCAAGGCGGACGTGGTTTTCCTCACATTATGCAGAAATAACACAGGATGGGTCACCCGGAGGGCTGTAAAGAATTATTGTCTCCCTTATGACTCTTCTCAGCTTGAGCATGCCCTGGGATGTAAGGAATCCCAACTTCCCATTTCTAGACACTAACCAGGCCATGAGTCCCAGTGTGACTGGGTAGAGGGGGCCACCCATCACGAGGAGCAAGAGAGACGAGGGAGTCTCCATTTCACCTGAGCAGGCAGCCTTCAGACTCCAACAGAGGGAAGAGATCGTCTGCGGGGTGGGGCATTGCATTCAGGTGTTCATTCAATGTATGAATGTCTTGTCTTGTATTGTCACAGCAGGCTCTTCTCCAACATCCTTGATGTAACCTCTGATGGGGCTCCATCAGAGGTTATGAGGCCTACAACAGCTGCATCCAACATCTCAAGACGGGCGTGCCTATTAGGCCAAACAGAGAAACGGTGCCTTGACCCTGCTCAGACTCCGTTGGCATGGACACATGCAGGATCTATGGCTGGGGCCAATGTGGCAGGCTGAAGAGAGTCCCTAGAAAGGATGTGAGGGTCGAGCACTTGTCTGGCTGAGAAACTGTAGTATTGGCCACTAAAGATGAAAACTGCACCTACTACGCTGCTCCTAAAGTGTTTTGTTGTATGTTTATATGCTTAGTTCTACCCATCAGCAAAGTTAAGCGATGCTCAGTGTGATGGCAAGACACGAGAAGTCATTCTTCTGCTCTACTCTGCCCTGATTAGGTCTCAGAGGGAGGTTTGTGTCCAGTTCTGGGCACCACATTTCAGGAAAGATGTGGAGAAATTGGAAAAGGTCTAGAGAAGAGCAACAAAAATGATGAAAGGTCTAGAGAACATGAGCTAGGAGGGAAGACTGAAAGAATTGGGTTTGTTTAGCTTAGAAAAGAGAAGACTGAGAAGGGACACGAGCAACTTTCAAGTACCTAAAAGAGTGTAATAAGCAGGAGGGAGACCAATTGTTCTACTTGGCCTCTAAGGATAGGAGAAGAAGCAACGGGCTTAAATTGCAGCAAGGGAGGTTTAGGTTGGACAGTACGAAAAGCATCCCAACAGGGAGGTTAAACACTGGGATAAATTGCCTATGGAGGTTGTGGAATCTCCATCGTTGGAGATATTTAAGAGCCAGTTATACACACACCTGTCAGGGATGGTCTAAATGGGAGTTGGTCCTGCCATGAGGGCAGGGGACTGGACTTGATGACCTCTTGAGGTCCCTTCTGGTTCTAGTCTTCTGTGACTGACGGCCATCTAGTTACATGCATCACCTCTGGGCAAGCTACTGGGGGTTCAAGGCTAAAATGTCACCCGTCTATCCCAGCCTCTTCTCTCTTAGGGTACATCAACACTGCAGTGGTGTTCAGGAGACCAGAGGTAGTCTGAAATAGCTACTCCGTGTCTTTAGAACACGTCCGTGACTGCGAAATATAGCAGCCATGCTATTTTGGCATCCCTGTAAACCTCACTCCACGAGGGGTAAGGGATGTCTGGAAATAGTGCTATATTTTGAAATTCGGCGCTGTGTAGCTGTGCCAAATTTTGAAATAGCCTATTTCGAAAAAGAATCAAAATAAGATGCGCAATTTGCATAGTAATAGACTTTGCCAGTCTCTGGGCAATGTGGGAGGTGCTTGGCTCTTGCCAAGAATGGGTGGAGCCTTGGATCGGAAGGGGGGGCCTCCTGTTGGAAGGAGTGAGGCTACGGCAGCCAGCCCTCAGTGCCGCCAGTGCTGCACCCCACCTCCCTCAGCCTGCTAGTCCTTAGCACCCTCCAGCAGGGATTTAGCGCCCATGGCTGCAGCTACCGCAGCCCGAGTTGGCGAGGGTCAGTTGGAACCCGGGGCCTTTTAGATTGCTTGGTGCTGGGACAACTACCCACTTTATCCCCTTGCCACCTGTCAGAACCCTTCCCACCTCTCAATTCATTCACTGATCATGGAGCACAGGGAGAGATTTATCACCCGTGGCAAGTTATTCCTCCTTTGGGGAATGCGAGCGCGCGCCACTCTGAGCAGCTGAGAAGAGGAAGCGACAATGTTCACGCGTCCCTTTAAAAGCCAAAAAGCTCTGCACCGAATCTCTCCATACCGACTGTGGGCTTCCCACCGCCCTCTAGATGGCAGCCTGCTTTGAAATCAGATAGTTATGTAATAACTTTTATACATTGTTGGTTACACAAAAGTAGAACGTTGAAGAAGTGGGCTGTGCCCATGAAAGCTCATGACACCATCTGTATTTTTGTTGGTCTATAAAGTGATACCAGACCTTTTGTGTTTAATTTTATTATGTGTTTCGTGTTCAGTTTGTATTTACAGAATCCGGCCGTATAAGGAAAAGCAGGACAATGCAATAAACGCTGGTACCTACACAGCGCTTTTTCATCATAAGAATCTTAACTAATTAATCCCAACGCCAACAAAAAAACAAATTCACTTGTGCAAAAAGATTTTCATGCTCTTCTGACTAAGGGCCCGATCTATTTCCTGTCAAGGTAAATTGGAGTTGGATCAGGCCCTGGTACAGTAACGACTGTTGAGGAAAAGGCACATACTACATCTGCGGCTATTTCCCAGAATGCCCCGGGTTCCCATTTCCCCCTCAGCCACTGGACTGTGCCTGTGCACCAGGACATCCCCCTATGAATTTACTCTCAGATGTTTCAGGGCGTAACTTCAGAGTAGTATCCTCATGTCCTCTTCAATGCAAAGCCCTGAGAGCCATTTCCCAATGGAGACCAGAGAAGACTAGAGCATCAGTTGTTCCCCTCCAGACTTAGACCCACCTCAGAACAATTTATCCTCTGTCATCAGGCACAGAAGAGAAGCTGGAAGGCTCCAAAATCAAACTGTTTACCTTTGCAAGCAGATGAAAAGATTTGTCGGACTTTAAAACTCTTTGAGACCTGTTTCTCATTCAATCGCTGATTCTTGTGGGACTCTAACAATGTGTGAAATTTTAAAAAGAAATTCAGTCACTGTATCGTGAGCTTAACGGAGGACTTGGATCATTTCAATGCATCGTTGGTAACTGAAAATATTAAAGTGAATTCCAATGGAGGCAAAAAGCTTCTCGGGTTGACAGATTGCTGTGGAATTAAGTCTTTCACCTCCATCCTCCTCCCATTGGAGTCCATGAGAAATCTGTCCCCGACTTTAGCAGGAGCAGAATCACAAACTTGGCTCACAAAAGTACCCTATCACCAGTAAAAACCTCCCCATTACAGCTGTGCTCAGTGACCGTATGTATCTTTATGCTGTGGCCTGTTGCTAAAATTAAACAAAGTTTTTAATTATCATGTTGCCAGTTTCTGGTAGGAAACAGTATTAATGTCACTTAACCGGGGACTATATCAGCTTGTGCTTGAGTATAAACGACGGTTGAGGTTAAGCCCATTATTGAGTTGTTAACCCTCAGTACCGAGGTCTGGAAAGGTTTGTGGTCACAGCTAATAGGAGTGACTAGAGCCTGATCTCTGACATTTAAGCTGCAAAACCGTATGGTGCATGTCAAATCGTACTGGCTCATTTATCACACTGCCTGGTATCGGATGGGTTTCACAGTTCCTTTGTACAGCATGGTTTCCAGTGAGCGGTGAAAAGCAGAGTTCTGCAGCGCTCTGGCATCTCAGTGGAGGAACTGTTAAGGTGCGTGGTTCAGAAATACGTTTTTGCTAATTTAGAACCGTGGAGGAAGTTCAATTTAGTTACAAGGAATTTATTGCACAGTCATGTAGCAGATAATCCCTAGAAGACTGGGTGGTTATAGGTGCTGTATGTAGGTATTTGTAATTAAGATCGTACAACAAAGCTTTTCTCTTGAACATCCGGTAAGAGCAACTTGCTATGCAACTTACTCAACCTGCGAGGAGAGAGCTCAGAAGAAAGCAGCATCCTTCCTGAGGAGAGTAAGAAAAGTAAATCTGTTAAAAAGTGTTTTCGGGGAGCCCTGCATTTCCTGTTGAAAGAGAAAGTGGGCAAGCAGCAGTCCTGAAACGTCGGCTAACAGGCTAGTCCTGTTTCCCATCGCGTGCGAGCTCTATTGAAAAAAGGCATTCTTCCTTGTAAAATGAAGTTTACCGCTGTTGAAAAAAATGCCATGTTCTTTTGATGTAATTTCGAAAGAATGGAGCAGCAGTGTAGACTCAGGTAAAGGGTTTTTTTTTTTTAAAAGAAGGCTACTTTTTTCAAGAAAACCCAGTAGTCCAGCCATAGTATGAGTCTTCCTTTTGTTTTCTTTTTTTAAGGTGAACCCTATAGTTCCATCTGGATGGCAAAAAATCTGGATGATGAAAGTGTTTTTTTCAACATCAGCCAGCCAGTAAGAAATAGCCAGCAATGAATTATCCAAGCAATGCCAACGTTTCTCCCAGTAGATCCTCCACTGTGTCTCCTTTTGATCTCTCTCCATGTAAGCTGGTTTAGTTTTGCTCTGTCTGTGCAATGTGGCAAAGAGGAAATTAGGGGACAGGGGGAATACCAAGAAATTACAGGTCACCGCAGTTTGGGGGTAAGAAACAGGTGCCGCTGAGCTGATGCTGCACTGTGTTTAGCTGCCAGTGTGAATGAGGATATCGTGCTTAGTGCTCTGTCAGAAACTGTGGTCAAGCAGGAAGGAAGCAGGGTTCGTGAAACCCTTCTGAGCAGTTCCCTCTTGCAGTTCAACCAGCTGCACCCCGTTGTCAGAGCAAATTACTGATGTAGATAAGGCGAAAGGGAGCAAAAGTTTAACCACAGAAAAGGCCACTCTGGTCGGGGCATTGAGCAATATTCAGTGCGTGAAAAGTGACATCAGTTGGGAAGTGAAAATAGACGCTGGTGTCGGCAATGAATGTTTTTTCCCTCAAGCCTCTGAGAAGCTTGAAGAAAGACGGTTCTCTGCCTTCTCTCCAGTTCCCCCCATGGCTCCTTGTCTCCTCTCGGAGTGGATCCTAATGGTCCTCGCTACAGGTAATTAACGTGGCAAAGAGAATAACTGGTAGTGGATGGGGCACCAGTAGTAACTAGTGTGGAAAAGGGACTGAATTCCCCTGGGGAGAACTTAACCAGATGGGTTCCAGACAAGAGAGGTTTCCAGACCATGGGAGGTCAGTATTGTCTAGCAGTGTTTCCGACACTTTCACTGCATACTGGGCTCTTTAGTAGATATTTAATGGTAAATTAGAACTAAGTAACAGCACAGAGCACTGAGAGCCAGGACTTGTGGCTAAACACGCTTTATAGGACCGTGGGAAACTTGGTCCTGCTCATGAAAAGTGGCCATCTGGCTCACTGAAATCATTCTGCGTGATGGGTGTTTCTGGTTAAGCGAGTTCTGGATGCGAGAGGTTCAACCTGTCTTGGGAAAAAATGTTGGTTGTGGGAGCCAACATCACGACAGAGTGAAGATCTTCTGCTCTTTCATTCTGCAACTAAAAATCTGCCGTTACTGGCAGGGAAACAGCGATAGCAACTGTTGTGAAGAAAATGGGCACCCTAATGCGGAGTCCATGCAGAATGGCTTTAAATGGAAAAAAAAAGTGCCAAGATATGGTCCATATCCTATAAAAGGGCCCGTCTCTTTCAGTTTGTCAGCCTTTACCAGCAGGGAAACAGTGATAGCAACTGTTGTGAAGAAACTGGGCACCTTAAGTCCGAGATTGGCTTTAAATAAAAAAATAAAAAGTGCCAGGATATGGTCCATATTTGTTTTTCACAGCGTTGCTTTTTGCTAAATAAGAGGGGAGATTAATAAACGTTTGCTTAGTAGCTACTAATGCTGTATGTTGTGTGAGTGGAGTTTCTCATCGGTTATTCTGGCAAAGTCCAGCAGCACCAGATTCATTACTCAGAAGGTCTGTCTTTTTTAGGCAAAAAGGTTGAGTGGAGCTAAAAAGGTTGAGAGGAGCTAACACCTCAATTCTGCCCAACTCTATCAATATTAAAGGTGTTAAACTGCACATTCACTGGGCAAACCAGCAGTTCAGTAGCAGGAGGCGACTTTGCTGACCGTATTTTGAAATCGTGGTTTATGCGCACAGGGAAGCAGCATACTTGGATGTTAGTGGAGCGTGTTGTATTCATGGGAACTCTAAAGGGAAGTGCAGCCTCGTGCTAGATCTAGAAAGAGGAAGGCAGGGTTGTAAGCGCATGGGGGAATTGTGCAGCATATGTAAAGTGAGCTCTGTCTTTCATCCACTGCTCCATTGACCCAGGGGCTGTGCATGCGCTAAATAGAGGGGCAAAGAGAGAACCTATTAAATACACTTCCAAAGGGTTTGTGTCAATTACCTGGCTACTTGCAGACACAGTCCGGTGCACGTGCAAGTTCCCCTGACGAGTGTGTCTCAAGGCAGGTGGAGCTGCAGATCCAGGGGAGGCTCGGCCCAGGGCAGAGGACCAGCCCACAGCGGCTCTTCTGCGAGCGCCGAGGTGCAAAGCGAGCTGGGGGTCCATGGTGCACACGCTTCGTGCTGGTGCTCTGCCACGGGAGGAACGAGGGGGCTGGAGAAGTGCGTGTGACGAGCTGTGTCATCCCGCAGGTGGCTCCAGTCACCGTGGTGGGGTGAGCGGAGCCGTCCAGGGACACCGCAGGGGTTGTAGGCCTCAGTGTCTCTCCCACGAGCACGGGGCAGCGAGAGAGCCGCTCTCAGGAGGGTTAGTCCCTAGTGGAGTCGCTTCACAAAGAAGCGGCACAAATCTCAAGGCCGAAGTGTTTGCGTTTGCCTGGTTCCCACAACTGAGCTCCCTTTGGGCAGGGCGCTGTGTGTGTGTCACTGCCCAGAGAGTCGCCCGTTGGTTGGTTGGGTGGATCCAAGACCTGCTCCCCCTACATCTGCCGGGCTGGGATCAGGAGGGAGGGGCTGGGCAGCAGCTGGGAGTGTTTCCTGTGCTTTGACTGGAACATCTTGTGGCAAAAGCACCATGGCTGCACCATGTCCTGCTGGCCGGGTGTGGCAGAGGGACACACCCTTCAGTGACCCTGGTGGAGCTGGAGCCGGGTTTCCAGCTTACAGGCACGGTGCGGGCAGTGACTGAGATCCCGGCAAGTCCCCTCAGCCTGTGCCTTGTGTCCTTTCCCCGTTTCCATTCCTGTTGTGCCTTTGTCTGCAGATCTCACGGCATCAGGCTCCCCGGTGAGAGGACTGGTGGGTCAGAACGTCACGCTGCCCTGCCGATACCGAGTTGATCGTGAAAGTGACATCACAAGCATGTGCTGGGGCCGGGGCAGCTGCCCTTCTTCCACGTGTGCTCAGCCCATCCTCTGGACAGATGGACGGGGGGTAACGTGGCGTCAGTCCAACAGATACCAGTTAGAGGGGGACCTCACGCGGGGGGACGTGTCCCTGACCATAGTGAATGCGGCGGAAGCAGACGAAGGGCTGTATTGCTGCCGTGTGGAGATCCCCGGTTGGTTCAATGATGAGAAGAGCCACCTGGAAGTTGTGATTGAGAGAGGTGAGCAGAGTCTGTCTCTTTGTCTCTTCGGAGGGTAAAACTCCTGCCAGCCTATGGCCTTCAGAGCGTGTGACTGACACAGATGTAGATAAGGCGAAAGGGAGCAAAAGTTTAACCACAGAAAAGGCCACTCTGGTCGGGGCATTGAGCAATATTCAGTGCGTGAAAAGTGACATCAGTTGGGAAGTGAAAATAGACGCTGGTGTCGGCAATGAATGTTTTTTCCCTCAAGCCTCTGAGAAGCTTGAAGAAAGACGGTTCTCTGCCTTCTCTCCAGTTCCCCCCATGGCTCCTTGTCTCCTCTCGGAGTGGATCCTAATGGTCCTCGCTACAGGTAATTAACGTGGCAAAGAGAATAACTGGTAGTGGATGGGGCACCAGTAGTAACTAGTGTGGAAAAGGGACTGAATTCCCCTGGGGAGAACTTAACCAGATGGGTTCCAGACAAGAGAGGTTTCCAGACCATGGGAGGTCAGTATTGTCTAGCAGTGTTTCCGACACTTTCACTGCATACTGGGCTCTTTAGTAGATATTTAATGGTAAATTAGAACTAAGTAACAGCACAGAGCACTGAGAGCCAGGACTTGTGGCTAAACACGCTTTATAGGACCGTGGGAAACTTGGTCCTGCTCATGAAAAGTGGCCATCTGGCTCACTGAAATCATTCTGCGTGATGGGTGTTTCTGGTTAAGCGAGTTCTGGATGCGAGAGGTTCAACCTGTCTTGGGAAAAAATGTTGGTTGTGGGAGCCAACATCACGACAGAGTGAAGATCTTCTGCTCTTTCATTCTGCAACTAAAAATCTGCCGTTACTGGCAGGGAAACAGCGATAGCAACTGTTGTGAAGAAAATGGGCACCCTAATGCGGAGTCCATGCAGAATGGCTTTAAATGGAAAAAAAAAGTGCCAAGATATGGTCCATATCCTATAAAAGGGCCCGTCTCTTTCAGTTTGTCAGCCTTTACCAGCAGGGAAACAGTGATAGCAACTGTTGTGAAGAAACTGGGCACCTTAAGTCCGAGATTGGCTTTAAATAAAAAAATAAAAAGTGCCAGGATATGGTCCATATTTGTTTTTCACAGCGTTGCTTTTTGCTAAATAAGAGGGGAGATTAATAAACGTTTGCTTAGTAGCTACTAATGCTGTATGTTGTGTGAGTGGAGTTTCTCATCGGTTATTCTGGCAAAGTCCAGCAGCACCAGATTCATTACTCAGAAGGTCTGTCTTTTTTAGGCAAAAAGGTTGAGTGGAGCTAAAAAGGTTGAGAGGAGCTAACACCTCAATTCTGCCCAACTCTATCAATATTAAAGGTGTTAAACTGCACATTCACTGGGCAAACCAGCAGTTCAGTAGCAGGAGGCGACTTTGCTGACCGTATTTTGAAATCGTGGTTTATGCGCACAGGGAAGCAGCATACTTGGATGTTAGTGGAGCGTGTTGTATTCATGGGAACTCTAAAGGGAAGTGCAGCCTCGTGCTAGATCTAGAAAGAGGAAGGCAGGGTTGTAAGCGCATGGGGGAATTGTGCAGCATATGTAAAGTGAGCTCTGTCTTTCATCCACTGCTCCATTGACCCAGGGGCTGTGCATGCGCTAAATAGAGGGGCAAAGAGAGAACCTATTAAATACACTTCCAAAGGGTTTGTGTCAATTACCTGGCTACTTGCAGACACAGTCCGGTGCACGTGCAAGTTCCCCTGACGAGTGTGTCTCAAGGCAGGTGGAGCTGCAGATCCAGGGGAGGCTCGGCCCAGGGCAGAGGACCAGCCCACAGCGGCTCTTCTGCGAGCGCCGAGGTGCAAAGCGAGCTGGGGGTCCATGGTGCACACGCTTCGTGCTGGTGCTCTGCCACGGGAGGAACGAGGGGGCTGGAGAAGTGCGTGTGACGAGCTGTGTCATCCCGCAGGTGGCTCCAGTCACCGTGGTGGGGTGAGCGGAGCCGTCCAGGGACACCGCAGGGGTTGTAGGCCTCAGTGTCTCTCCCACGAGCACGGGGCAGCGAGAGAGCCGCTCTCAGGAGGGTTAGTCCCTAGTGGAGTCGCTTCACAAAGAAGCGGCACAAATCTCAAGGCCGAAGTGTTTGCGTTTGCCTGGTTCCCACAACTGAGCTCCCTTTGGGCAGGGCGCTGTGTGTGTGTCACTGCCCAGAGAGTCGCCCGTTGGTTGGTTGGGTGGATCCAAGACCTGCTCCCCCTACATCTGCCGGGCTGGGATCAGGAGGGAGGGGCTGGGCAGCAGCTGGGAGTGTTTCCTGTGCTTTGACTGGAACATCTTGTGGCAAAAGCACCATGGCTGCACCATGTCCTGCTGGCCGGGTGTGGCAGAGGGACACACCCTTCAGTGACCCTGGTGGAGCTGGAGCCGGGTTTCCAGCTTACAGGCACGGTGCGGGCAGTGACTGAGATCCCGGCAAGTCCCCTCAGCCTGTGCCTTGTGTCCTTTCCCCGTTTCCATTCCTGTTGTGCCTTTGTCTGCAGATCTCACGGCATCAGGCTCCCCGGTGAGAGGACTGGTGGGTCAGAACGTCACGCTGCCCTGCCGATACCGAGTTGATCGTGAAAGTGACATCACAAGCATGTGCTGGGGCCGGGGCAGCTGCCCTTCTTCCACGTGTGCTCAGCCCATCCTCTGGACAGATGGACGGGGGGTAACGTGGCGTCAGTCCAACAGATACCAGTTAGAGGGGGACCTCACGCGGGGGGACGTGTCCCTGACCATAGTGAATGCGGCGGAAGCAGACGAAGGGCTGTATTGCTGCCGTGTGGAGATCCCCGGTTGGTTCAATGATGAGAAGAGCCACCTGGAAGTTGTGATTGAGAGAGGTGAGCAGAGTCTGTCTCTTTGTCTCTTCGGAGGGTAAAACTCCTGCCAGCCTATGGCCTTCAGAGCGTGTGACTGACACAGTCAATCACGCCCTGCAATGCCAGCCATGAGAGTGTGAAGCCCTCCCCTCCCCACTGCCCAAAGGAAGCAGCCTCTGCCATCCGTGTAACCCGCACAGAGCCAGGCACGGGGAGGGTGATTTTGGTCCCTTGTGCCAAGCAGCCCTTAGTAGCTGTCTTAGTCCTATTGCGTGTGGCATCCAGATGAGTGGGCCCCACCCTCTGCTGCACTCGTTGAGGGGCACAAAGTCGCGGGTGGATGCGTCATGTCCCTTGGCAGGTTGATCCAGCGCCCGTGCTATTGTGCCTGCTGGGACGAGACATGGCCACTATCTGCAGGGCTCCTAAGCCCCTGATGACGTGGTCCCTTCGGATGCCCTGGCCCTCTCCTTTGGTCACTGGGATTCCAATGAGAGAAATCCTCCACGTGCGAGGAAACCCGCCTGGCCGAGACCCTGCCTGACGTTTGTTCCTGGCCCTAGAGAGCCAGACTGCTTCTTTTCAGACTTGTGGGGCCTCATTCAGAGCAATCATCAGAGCAGGGACAACCCCACTGATCTGGGAACTGTAGTGTTGCACCAGGTGGGAATTTAGCCCTCTGTCTTGGCAGAGGAGCTAGGTGGGGGTAGGGCGAGGCACTCTCTTTGGCTCTACTCATATGGGTGAATTCCAGCCCGTGGCGAGTGCTCATGAAAGTCTACCCCACAGGTCCAGTTTGAGCCACTTGGCCTTAAGGGATGACTAAGGGTATGTCTACACTGCCAGTTTATTTTGAACTAGAGGGTTCACAGTACAGGGAAGCTGCAAAATTAGTCCAAAGTAGGCTCCCCTGATGCAGGTGCACTGCCTCCATTTAGAGCCCCAGGAGGCACTGGGGAAGAATAAGGTAGAATGGCCGTAGGGAGGGGCTATTCCGACAAAGCAGCAGCGGACCATCCACACACATCCTCTTCTGAAAGAGCTTTTTTGGAAGCGGCATTATTCCTCATGGAATGAGGTACCAACGTTGGGAAAAGCCCTCCGTTATTTCAATTTTCTTTAGAAATAATGCAGTTGCTGTGTGGAGCTAGTATTGATTTTCCGGAATAACATCTGTCATTCCAGACAAATGGTGCAGTGTAGATGCACCCTAAGTGTTATACACGGCAGTTCCATCTCACTCTGCTCTCTGACAAACTTTAAAATGTTCAGCTCCAGTTGTGGCAATCAGCAAAATCAAACCCCCCAATCTTACCCCAATCCTGATGTATTTTTAATCTGGGAAAAGGCAGAATTCCAGATGCTGTGGGAAGTCCTTCACTATAGATTGTACAAGGAAGGTGCTTAGAGAGTATGGTGAGGGGAAGAGGGAGGATAAACCCCCAAGACACACACACAGAGGGTACAGCTATGATTTTCATTCTCTCCTTTTGCTGCACTGTCGTGCCCAGAGAATAAAAGTTAAAGCAATTTTCTTCTTCTTGCAATAGAGCAGGTAGGTAGGGGGATGGAGTTTTCTTGCAGGTGCTATGTTGTTCTTAAGACACGTTATTTCTTTCAGCATGTTAGACACATCTTGCTGACTTGTCACATGCATGGTTTTTGTTTTGTTTTTTCATACCAGCAAAGACTTCCACTGCACTTCCTCACACGTACCCATCTGAACGTAGCTCAGGTAATGTTTAAGCCGGTATTGGTGTGTGTGAAGCCCTTAGTAATGGGATCGCAGAAAGGCAATAAAATAACAAATAGTAGCTGAACTTAAAAAACAATGAATAGTCCTGCAGCACCTTAGAAAGTTACAAAACATGTCTATGGGAACATGAGCTTTCATGGGCACAATTCACTTCTTCAGATGACCGGAGTTTAAGGGGTCCAAGTTCCAAATAAATAGAAGAGAAAAAGAAGGAATGGGGAAGGAAGGGAAAGGAGAAAAAAAGTGGGAAAAGAATAGTCAATGTGAGTTTCCATGCTACATGAAGCTGATAGGTGCTGCAGGACTATTAATTGTTTAATAGTTTTTTCTGTTAGACTAACATGGCCACCCTTCAGGAGCTAAACTGATATGCTGATAGAACTTCTAGTCATGAAATATGGTCCCGCAATCACTCATGCATAACTGCCTACCAATTGCACAACTTTGTTTCTATGTTAAAGATCTATTGTCGCTGGCATTGCAAATATTATTCCCACTGACTTTATATGTTACAACGTGTGATCTCCTGGGAGCAGGCAGTAAAAGCCCCAAGCAAAGATGGGACGATCTGGAGGGGTCTTTCAAACAACCTACAAAAATGGGTTTGTGGTTTAATATTTATTCTTTAAATGTTGGGTTTGAGCCTTATGAGCTCAGCTTGAACTTGAAACCAAAACTGCCGCTTCATTCACAATCAGTTCCATACATACAAGATGGGAAGCAACTGTCTAGGAAGGAGCATGGCGGAAAGTCATCTAGGGGTCATAGTGGACCACAAGTTGAATATGAGCCAACAGTGTGATGCTGTTGCAAAAAAAAGCAAATATGATTCTAGGTTGTATCAACAGGTGTGTTGTAAGCAAAACTCGTGAAGTCATTCTGCCGCTCTACTCTGCACTAGTTAGGCCTCAGCTGGAGTACTGTGTCCAGTTCTGGGCGCCACATTTCAAGAAAGATGTGGAGAAATTGGAAAGGGTACAGAGAAGAGCGACAAGAATGATTAAAGGTTTAGAGAACATGACCTATGAAGCCAGGCTTCATGAACTGGGCTTGTTTAGTTTGGAAAAAAGAAGATTAAGGGGGGACATGATAGCGGTTTTCACATATCTAAAAGGGTGTCACAAGGAGGAAGGCGAAAATTTGTTCCTCTTGGTTACTGAGGACAGGACAAGGAGTAATGGGCTTAAAGTGCAGCAGGGGAGGTTTAGATTGGACATTAGGAAAAAATTCCTAACTGTCAGGGTGGTCAAATATTGGAATGAATTGCCAAGGGAGGTGGTGGAATCTCCCTCTCTGGAGATATTTAAGAACAGGTTAGATAGACATCTGTCAGGGATGGTGTAGACGGAGCTTGATCCTGCCTTGAGGGCGGGGGGCTGGACTCGATGACCTCTTGAGGTCCCTTCCAGTCCTATGATTCTATGATTCATCTGGAGTTTGAGAGCTCATAGTTTCATTTCCTTCTCAGAAGAGGAGATGAACACTTTCTCCACATGGGATGTGTTTCTAGCTACTGAGTTGTATACTTATTATGGACACATCCACGGAGGAGCCACCGAAAGAGGCAGGCAATTGTGTTACTTTGATGTTAAAAATCATAGAATCTATGAATCACTAGAACCATGGAACACTGGAACTGGAAGGGACCTTGAGAGACCATCAAGTCCAGTCCCCTGCCCTCCCAGCAGGACCAAGTACCATCTAGGTCATTCCTGAGAGCTGCTTCTCTTACCTGTTCTTAAGTATTTCCAGAGATGGAGATTCCACAACCTCCCTAGGCAATTTAGTCCAGTGTTTAACCACCCTGATAGGTAGGAAATTTTTCCCTAATGTCCAACCTAAACTTCTCTTGCTGCAGTTTCAGCCCATTGCTTCTTATCCTGTCCTCAGAGGCCAAGGAGAACAATTCCCCCCCCTTTGTAACACTCTTTTAGAAACTTGAAAGCTGCTCTCATGGCCCCTCTGTTTTCTCTTTTCCAAACTAAACAAGCCCAATTCTTTCAGACCTTTGATCATTTTTGTTGCTCTTCTCTGGACCTTCTCCAATTTCTCCACATCTTATGGAAAATGGAAAGGCCCCCTTTTCCCAGAAGACAACAGCCAAAGCAGAGCACCCCATTTAGAATCGGAGCCCTTGGGAGTGGTTTTCAATTGCAGTAGAAAAGGCTCTTGGCTCCAGAGTCCCCTTAATTTAAACAGGAGGGGGACTCCATTTTCGTTAACCATAGATCCTCTGATAATACGTCTTCAGTCTTGCGATTGGTGGGCTGGTTTTATTGCTCATGGGGTGATTAATGCATCCAACGACAAAGTCACAGAAGCCTGGTGCTATCGACCTTGCCTTTGTAGCCCTGTGTTTTAAATGGTGGGGGGAGTGCCTTCTGCCGGGAAATAGACACGTTGCTGTAGCTGTGGTTTTGGCACGTTTGTCATGCTGTGGCCAGCCTCCATGCTACCGAAAGGTGTTCTCTGCTTTGTGAAGTCTTGTGTGCAACATTACTTGCCCTTTGCAGTGCTGTGTGACCTTCTCTTTCTGGGGCCCCGGACGCCTGTCGATTCTCAGGAGATACCCGTTTACTCTAGAGCGTCGAAGAAATAGGCTTGGCCTAGCTATGGCGTAGGAAAGAATGATGAACCGTGCTAAGGGCTGTGTTGGTTTATCTCATTGTTGCTCAGCTGCTGTGGATGCCAGTGACCCCTCTTCCATCATCCTGACACAACGGCCGTTGGCTTCCAGTTCAGAAGCGCCTCCGGCTGTTTCAGCGGTAAGTGGTCCCGTCTGTGGTCACTCTGTGCCCTTTTGGTTGGAAGAGAGAAAAATGTGTGTGGCGTCTGTCCACCTAGTGCCCGAGAAATAGAGCTGGTGCATGCCAGGAATGACGGCAAACAATCCCCAGTGACGTGCATCAAGGGCTAATCCGGAAGTCCTGCTTCCAGTTCAGAAGCGCCTCCGGCTGTTTCAGCGGTAAGTGGTCCCGTCTGTGGTCACTCTGTGCCCTTTTGGTTGGAAGAGAGAAAAATGTGTGTGGCGTCTGTCCACCTAGTGCCCGAGAAATAGAGCTGGTGCATGCCAGGAATGACGGCAAACAATCCCCAGTGACGTGCATCAAGGGCTAATCCGGAAGTCCTTACTCTTTACTGGGGGGGGGGGGGGCACGGCGCTGACTGAGGTGAAAGGGAGTTTTGCCTAATTAAAGCCTGAAGTCAAGAGGAGTTCAGGCACGAAACCTTCTCTCAGGATCGAGGCTTGAATAAGCCCCATAGGGTGTGGCCCAAAACGCAGGCGTTTGGGCGAAAGAGCTGTGTCTTTAACCACTAAACAGGCCACAAGGCTCACGCTCTTGATAGCAAGGAGAGGGGTTTGGATGCCTCGCTCCCTTTAGGCACCGTTGAACGTCCCAACCGCATTCAGCCTTGAGGAGAATGGCCCAGCTGGAGGGGACTATGGTGTGTGCAGGGGAGGTAACAGCTCCATCAGGTGTGGCGTGTGTGTTCCCCATTTGGTGGCAAGGCCCCTGAATGGTTTGTCACGTGACGTGTGTGTTTTCCATGACTTCCCCTAATGCCCCAGGCTTTTGTGTGTCAGCAGAATATGTCCACGTCAGTCGACCAGCTTCGGGAGCCAGAATCCACGAAGACAGCGATATATGTCGGCGTCTGCGTGGTGCTTCTAGCCATCCTGGCGGGGGCCTTGGTTGTCTCCACAAGTGAGTGATTTGAGAGGGGGAATGAGCCCAGGCCACCCCTAGTTGGATTTCTCTGATGTTGTGGGCTCTTGTCCCAGGATGGCTGCTCAGAGGATGCCCTCGATTAGCTCCTCTCCGTGCCACGCCGGCTGGGCCCTGTTTCCGTCACGTCACCCCGTTTATGCACTGGGCTTCCCTGGTCACAAGGGAAGTGGCTTGTGCTCCCATTTTGCAGGCGCTCCTCCGTGGAGGCTCCGTCAGGGCGCATAGTTGTGTAAACCCCTGGTGAGTTTGGCCTAGTGTGACATGTCCGTTATTTAAGACGACATTAAAGCTCCCTTATTTCAGGTTTTGCCCTTGACGTTTTCTCACTGAATTTGTTGCTGTTTAAAAATGATTTAAAAACTCATCTCTCCTTCTCCCCCCTTGTTTCTCCACCTATTTTGGATAATCTGCAGGGTATTTCCACAACAAACAGAAGCTGAAGACGTTGCAAACCGAGAGGTAAATGCTATTTACTCACCCTGCTAGGTCGACCGTCGCTTTAAGAAAACCCTTGGTCCCAACCTGTTAGTACCTTTGTTCGAACAGCAAAATGGACCAGCCTGACCGTCCCGGACGCATGCTGCCATTCCCAGAGCGGCATGCTTGTCTGATTGGCTTGGTCACCTCAGGACAGATAATCAGACATCACGAAAAAAGTGAAATTCGTTATCCCTGCTATTGCTCAGTGCGTCATAAACAAACATGGGCCCAACAGTTGATCCGGCTCACGGTTTGTATCTCTATGAAGCAGCAGCAGATCTACAGGCCTGTAGTGCCCTATGGCTAGATGAGGATTGGTCAATACGGGTGTCTAAGAGTAAACAGTTCGTATTTTCCCTGGAATCCCATTGCTGGGGATGTTGGGTGGCTTGTGTTTCCATTTCATTTCGGGAGTAACCGTCAGGGTCTGTTACTGTCTCTGCAGCGCAGTCTCGCTTTCCAGCCCCGAAGGCGGAGGCATCCAGAGGCCCTTAGAAGCCAGGGTGCGTGCTGAAGAGAATATTTACACGATGGACTAAGGCGTGCAGGCTTCCTTTCTCGACGCTGTGGCCTTTCCCCGTTCCTACCACACGAGCACAGCTGATACCACGAGGGTCTCAACCGCCCGGCCTGCAGGCCAGCTCACAATCTGGCTTGGGAGTGACGGCAGGCCGGCGGAAGGAGGTGGGCTGTTCTGTTCTCACTGCCCAAGGCCAGCCACCTTCCTGCCACTGTCCCACTCCCGCCCTCCCATGGCTCCCCATGCCCCAAGGGACGCAGCCTTGGGAATGCTGAGGGCACCTGCCGTGGGCAGTGCAGGGGCTCAGATGCTGCTGTCCCCATGGGCCAGGCCTCCCTGATAAGCCTAAGGCCGCATCCCTTGGTATGGGGGGAAAGGGAAGGAAGGGGCGGGGCTTCAGCAATGGGAACAAACAGGCCCCTATCACCTGCCGTTACTCCCGTGTCGGTTTGCAACATGGCTCTGGCCAGGGCCGACCCGCAGGCCAGAAGTTTGAGACCCCGGTTATGCAGCAATCGAAAGCATCCTTTTAAGTGCTGTGCGATACGCCTGAGAATATGAAAAGGGAGGCTCGTGCCGGAGGACAGACGGAGTCCCGTGAGGGCAGGGGGCTGGACTCGATGACTTCTCAAGGTCCCTTTCAGTTCTAGTGTTCCATGATTCTGTGACTGACAAACAGCAACTTGCACTGCTCTGCTGAAGCAAGAGGAGCCCATACATTCAAGGCTAAGACTTTGACCCACCGGGCAACATCCGTCTCAATCCATTCACCGAACGGGAGCGAGATGAGTATCGGTCGTCAGATGCACGTTGCCGCCGCTTAGCGTGAATGAGAACCCCGCTGCCAGGCCAGCGGCAGGGTGGAGCCGGCTGGGACAGCTTATGCGACGTAGCTGGGAAGAGAGATTTGTTTGTGACTGCTCCAAGCAAGCGGAGATGAATTGCATCGTTGCTAAGGCAAAATATATTCGGTCTTGGTTACCAGGGAGGGTCCAATCCTGGTAGGTGCTCACTGCTTCCAGGGAGATGTTGAAACTCCTGCTCTTGGAAGAAGTCGATAGGAATGGAGGGTATTCAGCATTTGGCGCGGATCAGACTTAGTACGTAGCATACAGATATTTTATCTCCGTTAATTATGACCAAGCACGTTTCACTGTGGAGCCCACACCTCTAGTTCTCCCTTTAAAAAAAAGACTTGTATGATTCATACCATAAACCGCATTAGTGACATGATCTCCCCTTCCAGAGCTCTAGGAAACTAGAAACCCGCTGCTACCCTGACACATGAATAATACATTCCTCTGCCCGCTGTTATCAAGGGGAAACAGGCACATTGGAAGGGGAGGCTAGAGATCTTGGTAATGCAAGAGACACTGGGTCACATTTTGCTCTCCACTTACATCAAGCTAAATCCAAATGAACTCCCCTGCGCTCACTGACATTTTAGTTGTATTTGCAGCCATGCACAGAGGCAGGAGGTGGAGCCAAATTCTGCTCCCCATGTTTATGCCTAGAACGGGGCCTCCCCATTAATGGAACTGGGATTGGAAATTTCACCCCCTCCCCTGCTGTTTGGTACAGGGGCACGGCAAACAAAAATCTGGCTGTTGTCTAATAAGTGGGCTGGGGATGGCCATGCTGTTTCATTTGGCGCAGGCAGGCAATAGAGCACAGGCGAACTGATCCAGTGCGGGGGGGCAGACCAGTTTTTTTGCTCCGCTGTTTGAAAAGCCCGCTTCTCCCCAGATCTGCAGAGACGCCCAAGACCTGGGGTGTGGAAGGGAGACAGATCTCCTCTGAGATCAGCCGTGATCCACTCACTAGAGTGAAACCGGCTGGTGAGGCAGAAAAGGCCGCACGGCGGAGGCGGGAGACTGCTAAAGCCATGATTTCCCAAAGGGTGGTCCGTGGAGTGGTCTGTGACCATCTTGCAGGTGGGCTGTGGGCTCAGCGCTTGCCCCACCCCAGCGGAGAGCCTGTGCTGGTGCGCCAGCCCCATGTCCCTTCTCCTCTATGAGGTCAAAGTGCCAGGGCCCGAGTCCCACTGTGTGTGTGGGTGGGAGGCCCCACGGGCCAGATGTGGCTTGCACAGGCAGACAGTGGTGCTGTGCGCTGCCACTCCCCTTCTTCCTCTGTCCCTCGCTGGGGGAGCAGCAGTGCAGGAAACCACTCACCTGGAGGTTTTCCCCGCTGCTGCCATCGGCCAGGATCGTGGCCAATGGGAGTAGTCAGGGCGGTGTCTGGGTGCAGTAGGAGACATGGAGCCAACTAAGTGCCCCCAACTTCTTTGTGCCCAGACCATGCACCCCCCCACCTCACTCTGCACCCAACCTTCTGGCCAGACCCCCATCGCCTCCTGCACCCATTCTGTCATTGGGGTGGCTGGCTGGGGGGTTGCAGAAAGGTCTGTGTGGAGCCTATACTGCAGAGTTTTTGTGCAAAAACTTGCGGAGCGTCCACACCTCAAGCGCATTTTTGCACAAGAAAATGGACAGTGAATCGACGGAGCAGAGGGGTTTTGCGATAGATTGCTCTTTCTACGAGGAATAACGCCTTTTTGCGCAAGAGTTATTGTGCAAAACGGTGTGGAGGGATGGGCAGCAGGGGTGGTTTTGCCCCAAAATAGCCTATTGAAATGATCACAGGTGCCCTGGTGACTATTCGCTTTTTCAATGAGCTTTTGCAGGAGAAGTTTGTGCAGAAAATCTCTTTGGCAAAAAGCTTCTTGCGCAAGAAGTCTGCAGTGTAGACGTAGCCTCAGAGTCATTGCTTTCAATGGAGTTCCACCAGGCCTGGTCTTTGTTCACTCTTCGTCGTCCACCCCCGGACGGAGAGAGAGGATAATACTGAGCAATGTTTCTTGTGGCAACTCTGCTGATTTCAATCACATCCTGTATCTGAGACCCTGCTTAGAATAAAAAGGAAGTTGAGCTCAGAGACCGTCTCCGGGAACTCCGGGTTCAGATTGCTGCGGTATCTGTTAATGAAAAGCAATACAGGACAAGATTGAGATTTAGAGAAATGTCACCTTTCTGGTCATTGTAATCCTAGCACAATTATTTTGCTGTAGCCCTGGCATTGTCAAAAAAACAGGAGGTATTTTACGGAGACATTAGAATGAGCTACCAGTTCCCCCCTGCACTACACTGATGCTAGTGAGGTCAGAATCAGTCTCCGAAAGTCAAAAAGTGAGACCCTATCCATAGTCTGGCCGCACTACAGGCTCAGCCTCTCTAGTCTGGCACCCTTGAGACCTGACCGGTGCCGACCTAGAGAATTTGCCGGACCATGGCAGGTCAATATGGATGACCGGTGCCGACCCAGAGAATTTGCCAGACCATGGCAGGTCAATATGGACTTGCAGCATTACCAGCACTTCCACTGCTTGCTGGGCTCTTGGGGTACGTCTACACAGCAGAGTTATTTCCAAATAACTGATGTTATTCCGAAATAACAAAGAGTGTATCTACACGGCAAGCCATTATTTCGAAATAATGTCGAGGCGGAGGACTTCTTCCTTTGACTCCTGTAACCCTCATTTTATGAGGAGTAAGGGAAGCCGAAGGAAGAGACTTCCTGCTGTGTAGACAGTGCCAAAAGCCGAGTTAAGTTATTTTGACTTAAGCTATGCAGCTGACATAGCTCAGGTTGCATTGCTTGTTCCAACGTTAGCCGTGCTGTGTAGACGTGCCCTTAGAAGACATTGAGGGGTAAATTTGAGCTAAATCACAGCACAGAACACTGAGAGCCAGGACGGGTGGCTGTAAAAAACTTTCTGGCACCACGGGAAACTTGGCCACATCCATGCTAAGTGGAACTCCAGCTAACTGACATCATGCCAGACCACGGATGTTGCCGGACTAGAGAGGTTCAACCAGTACTTGCAGCATTTGGCACAGTCCTACATTTGCTCCCACTAGGTCAATGCATTATTGACATCAACGGGAGCAAATAGGCCAACAAAGAAAGATTTAAAAACCCTCTGCAGAATGGCTATTTCAAAGCAGACTTGGCCCTCTGTGTGATGCACCAGCCGGAAACCTAACTCTTTCAATCATTTAACCATTGAGTCTGCTCATCTCTTACCAGAAATCACTTAACTGAAAACTGCTGCTCTTTGTGGGTGTTTCTTTTCAACCAAAATGACCATTTCCTGTGAGAAGCCTCTTTGAGGATCTTTGTCCAATGTTATACTGTAGGCTATGTGCTTACAGCATTGTTCCTGTTTATGCTACATCTTTATCTAGGCTAATGTTAGGCACCAATCTGAGATGGTATTGTCTATGCTTCTAAAACGTGCAAAGAGCTCACAGTTCCTTCTGTATTTGCTTACCGACTACGGCAAGTCTCTGATTCCCCCGATCTCTGCAAGTCACCTGGTAACACAACTGGTCACTAAACAATTAATGCTGCAAGAAAATGGGGGGGGGGGGAATTCACTCCCCAGTACGCACTTATGTTTGGCTTTGGCTCAGTGATACGGCTGGGCCTCACCCTAACCAACGACTGGCGTTCTGCGGGAGGGAAAGGCCCGAAAAATGTAAAGCAAAATGGGCTGGCGTTTGAGATCGCTGTTCAGTGTAGATCCTGAACATAGAGATGTCACTCGGCGTCCCCTTCTTTACTCCTACCCCTCTTTGCTAGCTCTGTGTATGATGATGAATTGGGTATTTTGGGTGTATTTTATATTTGTAACAATAAAACATTCTAAATATCTATAAAGGAAACCCCTGATTCCTACCTCCCTCCCTCAATGCAGGTCTTTCAACTGATTTCAAGGAATATTGGATCATGCCCGTAGGTATTTTTCCAGAGTAAAGACACCCCAAGTGCTGCGTCTGTGTCCCAATTAACTGGTTCAGGATTGTGGGGCTCCCACTGCAGGACTAGAAACAGTAGGATATGGTTGGGTGGCTCTCAGTGCTGGGACGCCGTCTGTCGGAGGCACCTTGGGGCAGGCTGGGGAGTGCCCACGTAACAATGTGAGGAGTTGGAGAATCGGCCATGCCGGCTGACG